AGCCTTTAAGTGTGAATTTGGTTGCATTATGAGCGATGGTGGAGTTTCAGAGCCCACTTTTTTTTTTCACATGCGGTTGGGCTGCCATCTGTTCTCAGCAGTTAAGCTGTCTTGGCAGCCCCTCGGAACTGGGACACCATCAGCTATTCCTCCCTCACATGCTCACAAAACCATGCAGAGGCCAACAAATCGATGGGTCATGATCTGCACCAAACTAATAAAAACACTGAAAACAAATATTTAAAGCCATCTTACTATGAGAAGTAAGACTTATGAGAATATGTGTAATACCCATGTATTAGATAACATTGCCATTTTCTCTTTGTCCATAATTTTGGAGCAAAAATAAGATAACTATATGAAGCACTTCTTTTAAATGTAGAAATTTAAAGTTCAAAGTTGCTCTTTATTCAGATCAGACATGACACGAGCAGGGATCTCTTTAACCTACTGGAGACACAACCTGTGGAAGTAATATGTAATAACATGTATTTTTTGGTGATCAGTCTATGTGTTTGTCTATTCACTAGTACATGAAATTAATGACAAAATTAATTAGAAAAATGCCTGTTGGATGTCATTCATCATTACTTATCGAGTTACAGAACAAACCACAGAAGAGGGCTTTGATAACAACAAATGTAGAGTCAACCCTTGTTAAAACAAAAGGAGCCAAAAGACGGTATGAAGAACGTGGGAGGGTGTGTGTGTGAGCGGGAGACAAATCAAAGGGTTTGCCAGAGTGGTTTTGATGTTATTGTCATATAAAAGAGAGTCCCACGCTCTGCATGACATTCTGCTTCAACCTGGGGCTTAACACACACACACACACACACACTCCTACAGTATACATCTCTTAATAGCCAAAGTAATGCACACACCAGCACATGTTCAGTGCCAGGAGCACACAGAGTTTCAGTGGCTAACGGAGTCCTTTGAAGTATGTTTTCTGTATTCATGGCAACTCATATTGACAACAACAAAAGGCCGCCGAGCTGTGAAACACGTGATTGATTCGTTGGGTGGATTCCCACGTTTTTTTTTTTGCCCTTGCCTAATGTAAAAATGTGGTTAATTGTACCACTAATGACATTGTTTGACGAGATTCAGAAGCAGAGACGTGAGGGAGGTGGAAAGTCCTCCAAGAATTATTGTGTTGTGTGAAAACCTCAAGAGATCCTGAATTAATGCCAGACCCAAAAAATGCTTTGCAGCAGAAAACAAGCTGTCACCCGTGTACAAGATGTTTGTGAACCTTCAGGTCTCGGTGGAAAATTGCAGCTGTGTCTAACAGCTGTTGGCTGTCTGCTCAGTGACTGATTGAGTGACAATTTGTCAAAATGGTCTCCGGCGAGACGCTGAACACCAGGTTGCTCGTGATATGTTCACTGGTGTGTAATTGCCAGGGGAAAAATACAGTTTAATTGAGAAGTTTAGTTTGACTCTGAGTAAGTGGTGACGCCCCAAAACCAGGTTCCTGCTTCAAATGCCAGCTGGGAGCTTTCTGTGTGGCGTTTTCAGGCACCACAGCTTTCTTCTTCCATCTAAAAACTCCTTTGAGGTCAAATAGTGATAATCAATTGACAATTCTGATGGAAAGGATGCTTGTTGCTTTGTGTTTTTTTCAAGAGAAAGAGTCATACCAAAGATCGGGTTCCAAATCACAATAACTAGTTTTTATCTCTAATAGTGAGGCCATCAGAGAATGAGGATCACGTGTTGTGGGTAGAATTCTGCTGTTAATTGCAGCATTGTTTAAAACTATGGCTCCATCGTTCTTCCTTCGAATTACCTATCTCTCTATTTTACTCACGTCCTTCCTCCATCACACTTGTAATGCACATAATAACCATGCACATGATCTAAATCCTCCCTGCCCTTCACGTCTCTCTCCTTTCACTTGGTGTCTATTGTGCATGTGAGGACTTTTCCCCTCCAGCCCTTCCTCATTTCTTCCCATTTTCCTCCATCCCGTAACTTATCCCTTTTCTCTATTTCCGTACCACCACCCTTTTGCTCATTCTTTCCAGCGCTTTTTGTGTTTCTGTAATCCTCTTTCTGTGGCGCTTTCATCTCCACCTTTAAAAGGCAAGCGGCTGCAGGCCTTTCTGATGGCCGTTGGATAACTTCTTGCGCGTGTGTGTGTGTGTGTGTGTGTGTATGAGAGACCGTGCATTTCTTAATTTTTATTACACTTTCTGCTCCACGTGACACTCCCAGCTTCCAGTTGTAAATCTCAGATACAGCTCGTCAATCAGTTCCTCTGTGTCAAATTTA